TAATTCTTGAGACTACCTAATATATAACAATCGCGGAAACCGTAGCAGCACCTGCCTTGTACATCTAAGAGAGGTAAACCATTAACACGTATTGAAAAAAACACTATAGGTTTGTGTTTTCTTGCGTGGCGAAAAATTGACGAACCCGATTTGTGTGTTGAGCGGCTTCCGAGCGAACCTGCAATAACAGTAAACAATGACGGTTGTGCAAAAGAATGCGAGTATAGCTGGTGGAAACCGCACCCGTACTCTTATCGCAGACGTGGCTGGTGTTGCCGGAGACGCTACTGACAGTCCGTGAACCAGTGTGCCATTGAAGGAGGAAGCCAGCGAAATGAGCAGTCGCACGCGAATACGGAATTCCATTGTCAACATAAGGAGCATTCTAAGGCTGAACAAAGATTACGGAGGGTTTTTAGTAATATATTTTTACACGCAGTAGCCACTCTCCGGCAACACGTGACAACACAAAAGCCCATAATACAAAACGGATTATAATAGTGAAAATGCATAAGCGATTCCAAAATAATCATTCCGGTAAATGTGATATGAAAACATCAGACACAAATATAAAAACGTTCAAACGCACCGAGAGAACGCGTTGTCAATCCTCTTGGTGACGCACATTTCGTACAAAGAACATCCAGAGAACTGCGAACACGAATTCACCATAGACAGCTCAAACTGAGTCATCAATCATTGGTCATGAGACCCGGACAAAATACTCCGTGCAGTGAAGGGTGGATTCGATTGGGGTCAAAGGCCGCAAAAGGGATGGGGTGAGAGGAGGGGGGCAAGGATGAGGAAGGGGAGGGATGATCGGTAGCAGACCTTCCGTTTCTCCTCTCACAATCAGACTCACCTTTTTGTTTTGCCGATTGTTTGTTTTGCGCCTGTTTTCCATTATAAATCTTATTTCGAAACAGGTGGTCGTTATTTACGAGGGACCGCGCTCCACGAAGCGATGGGAAGTGGTAGAGTAGGCAGGGACTGGATGATCGGTCGTCGCTGGCCCCGTCGTAGATGCTTCAAACACCAGTGCAAAATACGTTTACGTAGCTAAAACGGAGAAGCAAATATGGTCGAGCCGAGGAGCGAAACCACTTTCGCCTGGTTCAATATGCCATCTTCACGGTATGGATTTCAAAATAAATGGAGAAAACGATATATTCAAATGATAATAAAAGGCGACGAAAATTTAAAAAAAATGAACACATTTAACCTATGTTGTAAACAAATGTACGCAAATACAGACAAATAAGTAATAATATAATTTATTCGCACTTCAACAATTTCAAACAACACAGGCCGGCGGAGGTCTTTCAATAGAAAAATATTAACAATGTATGTTATATAAATCTTTGAACAATTTTTAGAACATTATGAAATTGATCGTATAAAAACATCGCCATTAACCCAAAATACCGAAAAAACGAAGAAATGCACACAATTGTGATTACAAATTTCCCCATTTTAAGTCATGTCCTGATTTTTTTACTTCTAATGGAATACTTGAATAAAAATTATGCACATTGCGTTGGCAAAATATAAAACACCCTGAATTGTGCAAACATTTGATGTAATATATGACTGATATTATATTTACTTATTTCGACTAACATTTTTTCATCGATCTCTGATCAGTAGTTGAATTTTATCTCATTTTCCTGCTTGTAATTTTTCTCTCTTTGACACATCACCATCTTATGTCTGTCTGCAAATATGCTATTTTTCGTCTTTTAAGAACTTTCGTTTCAAGAAAAGTTTCCTATTAGTTTTCTCAGCGTTAGTCTATAATTTTACAGAATCTCCACTCTTATTTTCTTATGTTCTTATTCTAATGTGCGCAAATACATACAGACATACATACATACACACACGTCTACAAACAAAATCTAGGACTTCCGGGCGTAGTTTTGGAAAAAAACATAGGGGTATCACATGACTTGCAGGACTAAATCCGGTCTCTCGCCGTGTTCACAAATTCACAGCCTCTAATTTTCTGAGGGGAACTCTTTCAAGAAGACTATTGTTACGAATCAAAAAAGTAATATATATTATTTCGACAAACTCTTTTGGGTTGTTGACATTTTCAAACTCCTGAAGTATTCAGTGGCTTCCAATTTTAAGGTCCGATGTTTACGATGCTCTGTTTGAAATAAGCCTGAATGCGAATGACACTTTCAATATTTGTAATTTCCCCCCCTTCTTCTAGAGAAAACAATCGACTGATCACAAGCAAATGATGCCAGAGTATATTCTAGGCACTTACCCCCCGTTTTAAAACTTTTTCTTTCTATATTACTAAATAATATTTCAATAAATATTTTAAAAACTCGAAATTTCGTAATCCAGCATCAGCAGTTTACAATGAGTTGAAACAATAATCATGTAAAGATATTCAAATTTAACAATTGCGTATGTCTAATGGAGAGATATCATGCCCATTTGGAAATATAACCATTTAACATGGAAGATGATAATTAATCTCAGTAACTTTTTGTATTTTGTTTTGGTAAGGTATACAATTAAAAGATAATAAATAGAAAAAATTCTACAAATAAACACAACGTGCGTCTTTTTTACACCACCAATTACAATATTACAGGCTTTCGTTTTTAACTATTAATACCTAAATCTTAATATAATACCTTAAAAATTGCTTTGAAACTTGGTAGATATACCCCAAGCAGAGAAAGGGGCATTGGAAGAGACAGTATCGTTGTTTTGTGTTCGGCATTTCTGGTTGCTGACTGCTAGAACATATCAGTCATTCGATTCAAAGCGAAAAAATAGAAACTTGATCTTTAACATCTGGTGCACGTGCTTGCTGCAACATCGAACGTTGCACTTTTATGACGCTCTTTTTTTGAACTTGTCAGGGTCAACTTACGTAATGAGATTACTTAGATTTCCTTAGCTTTTTTTGTTCTTACCCACAAGCAAGTAGATATTAATTTGACAAGGGACCTGCAAATTACGAAGTCAATATTTACGACGGTTAATCGCCATGACAAGTCATTAATGAATTTCAAACCGATCTTACAAATTTTCCCTTAGGGTCTTCATAATATATCATTAAACTCCTAGTTAAAGTGATCATTGAAAAACATCAATGATTATTACGTAGCAATGAATAAGTAACAGGTTTGTCCCGGTTGCTTCCGCTTCTACTCCCCCCGGCCACTCAACGGGTAACTAAAAAACTCTAACTTTCAAGGTAGCTGAAAAACAAAGCATAAAGCTATTGTAAAAAAATGTATAAGAGAAGATGAACACTTTATATGAAATAAATATTAAAAAGAAATGTAACTGGAATAGTTGATAATGAGAATTTCAACTACCCTTAAATAAATATACGATCTACTATATTTCTTAAAAAAGTCGTTGTAATTTGTTTACCAAGAACAGAAATACACAAGAACTATTTAATAATAATTTTAATAGTATAGCAAACACCCAGTAAATTCATCTTCCCATCAAATACCCAAGGACGATTTTTAATTCTACAAATTGTGTGTTAAATGTGCTTCTCACATGCTTTATCACCAGACGGATGGCATTCAATTGTTGATCGGCGTCTAATAATTATAATCCAAATATTAAATATCTGGAAATAATTTACAGAAATATTTATGGACCCTAAGTATTGATGACTGTCTCATTTGTTTATCTTAAAATAACTAATTAATGTATTTCAATGATTGAAATGAAGGCTTGTTTTAAAGAACGTAGTTGCTACCACGAATGAAGGAAATTTAAGTATTGACGCTGATACGGTCATTAGGGAGCTACTTAACTGAAAATCGTTTTCAAGTTAAGATACTTTGAAACAAAATATATTTCTCAGATCACGTATTATGTAATCTAATCTTATTGGCGAAGCACGTTAAGAATACGGACACTAGAAATAATTTTATAAGAATTTCTTGAGTAGTAGGCATGTTATTTCAAACCAAATATGGCACAGACAGTTAAATAATAAATTAGTTTAAAATCAAAAGCACGATTTGTAACAACAAAAAATGTATTAGTAGGACGGAAGTTAATGCAATTTATCCACGAAACACATAATTAATCTTCTTGATCCGTATTCTCGACACAATGTACGGCTAAAAATAGCGGCACACTTTTATTTCTAAAGTGAATGTTTGGTGCTCTTTGCAATGCTGACAGTGATCCAATACCACTGCAACGGTGTCATCTGCATAATGCAATGGCTGGCGAGCTGGATCACAGCCAAACCCAAACACGAGAGAGAACGAAGTCGCCCACACTGAAACCTACTTTTACACGTCATGCGACGACCCGTGGCGATATGCTACGCGCAGAGATACAAATATAGAGAATGTCACAAGGAAGAGGAAAATTTCCAGATAACTATGAACTATTTATTGAAAACTAGTACGTAAAATCTTCCACTCAAAAAAAAGCAAGAGAATGATCAATAGTCGACTTTCATTGCACGTTTAATTTCACGTTTATTTTGTTGGTTAACATTGATGTAATAAATATACAGGGTGAACCAATTAAGTCATAACACCCCTTTTATCTCCTAATCCGTGAAAGGTACGAAGATACCGTTTGGACAGTCCGTAACATAGATAGGGGCTACTTGATTACAGCATATTTAGGTTCTGTGCTATTTTTAATTACAAGGATATGATGTCAACTCTGTTTTCTAAAATAGAAACCTATGATTAATTTTAGCTCATCTTAATGAGATTTAAAAGACGATTTCAAATATGTGTATTACTTTATATTTAAGTGAATAGTTTTGTAGATATAACAATGTTTTGTAACGTATTTTTCCACTAAAACGGGCCCCTTCGAATTCGATCTTTCCTTTTCTCCACTGAGAAACTTGAAAGGAAATGTTTCTTGCATTCCTGCTTTCCGAAAATGCGCAAAGGCCACGTACACGATAGCGGGGCGGAGGCCACGAGTATAAAAGGCGCTGCTAGGGTAATAGGACAGCTCATTTTTTCTAGTTTCTTAGAGCAGAATGTATACCAACGAAGAGACGTTACATATGCTACTAGTGTATGGTGAATGCGGAAGAAATGCCGGTAGAGCAGTACAGCGATATGGAGAGCTGTATCCAGATCGTCAGCTTCCTACGCGCCAGCTTCTTGCAAGTATGTGCAAGAAACCAGTGAAATCGGGAAACTGGAAGGCTGAACAGAGGACAAGGCAGAAAACTGCAACTGAGGAAGCACATGAGGAGATTGTTCTGGGGTCGGCGCTTAGCAAACCTCATGCTGGTTCGCGACATTTGGCCAAGGAATGTGGTACATTTGGCCAAGGAATGTATGTAGAGAATACAAAATACATTATTAAACAAAATGGCATTACTTGAGCATATGTTCGAAATGTTGTCCATCTGCTGCAATGCACATTTCCAGTCGCCGTTCGCAAGATAAATGAACAGATGTAAGGATGTCAAATGATATAGCAGAGCAAGCTTCGGTGATATGCCGATTC